GATTTAAACAGTGTGACTTTGGGTGAGTGTCTTATCGACCCTTCACCCCCTCCTCCTGATGAAAAAGTCAGATGAATGTGACATGAGCGTTCACACTGCAGTCACTTTGAAAACATCAGATATATATCTGATTTAAAACCACATACTGAAACGGCCTGGGTCGGATTTGAAAAAATCGGATTTGTCGCGTTCAGACTGTCATAAAAAAATCTGATATGAGTCAGATGGGTCAAAAAAATCGGATTTGCCTGCAGTGTGAACGTAGCCTTTGTCTCTACACTACCTGAGAAAGAAAGAAAGCTCTTGTGAACTCATCAGTGCAAATAGACCTGAACGCCCACAGAAGACAACAGTGGTGGATAATCCCAGAATAATCTCCATGGTGAAGAGAAACCTCTTCACAACAACCAACCAAGTGAACAACACTCTGCAGGAAGTAGAAGAATCAATATCCAAATCTACCATAAAGAGAAGACTGCATGAAAGTAAATACAGAGGGTTCACTGCACGCTGCAAGACACTCATAAGCCTCAAGAATAAAAAGGCTAGACTGGACTTTGCTAAAAAAATATCTAAAAAAGCCATCAGAGTCCTGGAAGAACATACTTTGGACAGATGAAACCAAGATCAACCTCTATTGGAATGATGGTTAAAGAAAAGTCTGGTGAAGGTGTGGTACAGCTCATGATCCAAAGCACCACATCATCTGTAAAACACAGCAGAGCAGTGTGATGGCTTGGGCATGCATGGCTGCCAGTGGCACTGGGTCACTAGTATTGGTGATGTGACACAGGACAGAAGCAGCTCAATGAATTCTGAGGGATTCAAAGACTAACTGCGCTCACATTCAGCCTAACTTACAGGTGGGTGTTTCATAATGAGGATAGACTAAATGACCCAGTTTACAAAGAAGTGAAATATTCTTGAATTACCAAGTCAGTCACCTGATCTCAGCCCAATTGAGCATTGCTTTTGTAAAAGACTAAACTTCAGACAGAAAGGTCCACAAACAAACAAACAAAAGCAAGTGAAAATCGCTGCAGTAAACACCTGACAGCAACAAAAAGGAGGAAACAGCGTCTGGTGATGTCCACGAGTTCAAGACTTTATGCAATCACTGCCAAGAAAGGGTTTTCAACCAAGTATCAGATTATTTCATTTGTCCAATTACTTTTGAGCCCCTGATATGAAGGGATTGTGTTTAAAAACACTTTAGGTCCTCACGTTTCTTTGCAGTGATTTTGTTCAAACCACTGAATTAAAGCTGAGAGTCTGAACTTCAACTGCATCTGAAATGTTTTGTTTAAAATTCCCAGTGGTAATGTACAGAACCAGACTTAGAAAAACGTTCTGTCCAAATAGACATGGACTTAACTGTACATGTAATCATTTGTTTCTGAGTTTCATGAAGATCCATCTCGAGTTATTTTGCTAACAGACATAATCATGCAGACACAAGCAAAAGCAAACCTTTCACCATTAAAAGGAGCCAAACTTGTTTTAACTGTTCAGTATTTGTATCTCAAACAGACAGGGGGATAAGCCAGACTCTTACTTGGTGCTGGTCAGCTCAGTTTCTGTGTCCGAAAAAGCGGGTTCAGAGAGAAACGTAAGATTCCCAGAAGAAGTAATGGCAGCAGAAACCTTCGAAAGACATAAAGCAGGAGAAGATAATGAAGCAGGCCCCTCCCCACTGCAGCCCCCTCAACAGAAGAAACACCCAGAATAACATCTGTTCAAGAGTTCTGAGAACACTCCTGCACCAGAAAACAACCTAAACCCATGGGGGGCTTCTTACCCTATTTGAGGGGGTCCGGTCAGTGGTTGTGTCAGACACAGCTGTGTGGATCTCTGCAGCCTCTTCTCTGAATTCACCTGAAACGAGAACGACAATGTTTGCAATTAGCCTGAAGGCCTAAAGGCCTGGCATGTCTTCAAGGAATGCATGTCACCCACCACCTTTTGTACTGTACGAGATGCTGCCTGATCAAGGTCAACACCAAGAATGACAAGTACATCATTTCTAAGTTTTATTCCTCCAGTGGGTTGTGAGAAAAGTTGGTAACAGAAACACACGTAAAAACACTGGGCCTCATGCAAGAACCGTTCGTACGCACACATTTGTTAAGTTGTGCGTACGAGTGATTTAGGAGAATTTGTGGCATTCACCAATGTTTTCGTATTCTAAGATTTTTTTCAGATACGAACAAAATTCAGGAGTGGTCCAGACCTGTCGTATATTTTACCAGCAGTCAGTCTGCTGTTATCCAGACGGGTTTTCTTCACTAATAGCTTTATATTTCATTAGTTTGAAGATATTTCGAGTTGAAAATAAACCACACTCTATAATTATGTTGAAAATAGGCTATTCTGTTTGAATTGGAATTATAATTTTAAATGTAATAATTTAGACTAATGACATAAAATGGTTAAATTAAATTAAATTGGCTATCAATGCTGTTGTATAGCACTACAATATTAATATGAAGTTAATTGAAGTTTGGAGACATTTAAATTTTTTTTTTCAGAAACGCATCTGACACTTGCGGCGGTGGGATGGGGGGGTAGCGGTGCGCGACTGCTCTTCTTCTGAATAAATGAAAAAAGCTAACACAGTTATTTACACTTGAATTAAAAATATTTGACCAAAGGAAAACCAGAATAGGACTAGAGAGAGAGATGAATATGATTTAGATTTTTATTTCTGTGACTGTAACGACYCACAGGAGACACGACATTAACAACACATTTCATTCCTTTAAGCAGCTCCTTTAATTCCACGACTGACCTGCTAAAAATGACAGATTTACTTTTCTGGATCTCTGACAGACGGACTTCAATCTCTGAACTCGTAAAATTCTTCTTTTTACTTTTCGCTGTCATTTTCATGAATGGACACTTCCTGATATCTGAGTCAGTAAACATAGCCTTATATRGTGTTTTTGGGGTGGTAATTATGCTAATCTCCTCGTGCACGAGCAGCTGGATACAAACAGGTGAAATTCATCATGTTTACCCTGCTCATTTATACACTTTTCCTGAAGATAGAAGAGTGTTAAATCTGACGTGACATGTTTGTACGAACCCTTCGTACGAACAAAAGTAAGAGAAATTTAGGATAAGAATACGAACATGTTCTTTCATGAGGCCTAATGTCCTTCACCTATTAGAGGAGGGTGATGAAAATGTATTTTACTTACTCTGATCGACTACATAAGAAGCAGGAAAATATCCCTGCAGTCCACTGACCAAGCGCCCAAACCACCTCGTGTCGTTCTCTTTGTCTTTGAACAGAACTTGGATGACATCACCGCGCCGAATGGTCAGCTCATCAGAGCTGTCTGCTCTGTAGTCGTACAGGGACACAACCTGAGACAAACGAGTAGTAAGAAGAGCTGCAAACACAACTCTGAAAAAAACTGAATCCAGAATGGAAGAGGAAGAACAGAGGGAGCGTGAATGGGTGGTGATGTGTAAGAGAGACAGATAGGGAGGGGCGAGATTGTGGATGGCCTTGAATGTGGACAACAGGATTTTAAATTGAATTCTGAATGTGACTGGAAGCCAGTGAAGTTGTTGTAAAACTGGGGTGATGTGATGAAATGTGGTTGTTTTGGTGATGATGTGAGCAGCTGAATTTTGAACCTTTTGAAGTTTACGGAGTGATTTGTGAGGCAGAACAAAGAGGAGAGAGTTACAGTAATCTATTCGAGAAATGACCAAACTCTGAACCAGGATGGAAGCAGAGTGCGGGGAGAGGGATGAACCGAGTCTGTTGATGTTTCAAAGGTGGAAATTTGCAGACCGGGCAATATTATTGATGTGAGAGTGAAAAGAGAGAGTGCTGTCAAGAATGACACCCAGACTCTTGACCTGAGGGAAGGGAGAAACCAAAGAGCTGTCAATAGTGAGGGAGAAACTGTTAACTTTAGATAAGGAGGATTTAGTGCCAATGAGAATAAACTCAGTTTTATCACTGTTTAATTTAAGGAAGTTAGATGTGAACCAAGGTTTTATTTCAGCTAAACAGGAAGTGAGGGAGGAAGGTGGGAGTGAAGAAGTGGGTGCAGTGGATAAGAAGAGCTGGGTGTCGTTGGCAAAGCAATGAAAGTGGATGTTAACTTTATGGAAGATATTGCCAGGGGGAGAAGGTAGATGATGAAAAGAAGGGGCCCCAGGACAGAGCCCTGGGGCACACCTGAAGTTACAGGGGAGGAGTGGGATCTGAAAGATTTAAGTTGAATGAACTGAGCGCAGCCAGAGAGATAAGACTGAAACCAAGTGAGGGGTGTGTGTGATACCGATGGATGAAAGTCTGAAGAAGGATAGTGTGGGAGATGGTATCAAAAGCCGCACTAAGATCAATGAGGATGAGAAGAGAAAGTAAACCAGAATCTGCTGCCATGAGAAGAGTGTTAGTGATCCTGAGGAGAGCAGAGTCTGTGCTGTGACCGGGGCGAAAACCAGACTGGAACTGTTCATATAGGCTGTTTTTGGTTAAATAGAGATGAAGTTGAGAGGCAACTGTTTTTCCTAAAATTTTGGAAATGAATGGAAGGTTAGAAATAGGACGAAGATTATTAAAATTATTTGGATCCAATCCAGGCTTTTTCAGGATTGGAGTGACAACTGCAGTTTTGAGAATAGTTGGGACAGTTCCAGTTGAAAGAGAAGCGTGAGTGATGGAAGAAGTGGAAAGAAACAAACCTTTACAAGAACTGTTGGGAGAGGATCTAATGTTTGTGTTAAAACCAAGAAATAATCCAAGTTTTAGGAAAAAAAAAAAGAATAGTTTTGGCAGCAACATTTAAAAACAGCTGTTTCAGGACCAACAAACCATGGAGGATCGAAACTGACATAATTTGAAATAAAAGCAGAAATATATTAATGATGGATAAATAAATAAATAAATAAATAAGTACACACACACACACACACACACACACACACTTAAAATGCACCAGTTCTGTTGGTAAATAAGAGCAGATGTTTCATAGGGAAATGTGGAGCTGGAGCTGTTCAACAGATGTGTTGCAGCCATTGAAATTTAAATGACATTTTTTTTCTCTAAAAATAGGACATTTGTTTAGATTAAACATATAACATGTTTACTATAATCTGCTGTTAATAAAATAATCTGGATGATGTCAGAGAAGACTCACCACTTGTTGAACAGGAAGAAAACCTGTTTCCACATAAGATTCTGAAGAGATGTGATCAGAAAGAGTCTGCGATGGAAAAACATGACTTTAATCTTTTATCTTCTGGATGAGTTAACAGGAAGAATAAGAGGTTTGTTAGCAAAGCCTTACCGTCTGTTGCCAAAAAGCTGAAGCTCCTTTTAGATGCTGAGACACTGGAAAACCACCTCCTGGAATTACAAAACCAAACATTACAAAACATCATCACTTTCTAAACTGACACAGTTCAGAATCTGAATATCTTTACTGCCATTGGAACAAGTCTTGGTGTCAAGGGTATATAAAGGTTAAATTTAAACAATCCACGTACAAAATAATAACAGTCATATAGCACAATGTTGCACATTAGAGTCATTGCACATGGTTATTGCACATATACTGTAAACTGCAACTGTAGGTGCTACGTAGCATTTACAGTGGTTTGCAAAAGTATTCATACCCCTTGAACTTTTCCATATTTTGTCACATTACAACCACAAACA